GAGGTGGTTGAGGGTCACATCGTGATATAATTCGCTATAAAAAACCTATTCAGATTGAACTTAGTACTATGCATACTCTAGATTGGTAAGTTAGTGCTATCCGGGCTAACGAAATCAATGCCACCTAAATAAAAGTCTTTAAAAGACTGTGCAAGCCGAGATTTCATGTCGAGTGTACACCACAAGCCGAGTTCGCTTGTATACATCCAAATAAATACAGTAGATGTATACATATTTATGGTATGGTAAGCTAAAACTAAAGATAGTTGGTTTTACTCTCTTTGACAATTTCAGTGATTTTTTGCACTCGTGACTTAGATAATCCGCATTCGTTTACAAAGTTAAACATAACAAAAACGGCGTTAGCCACCTCTGGTCTGAAGTATTTTTGAAATTTTTTTAATTATTGAAATAATGCTTAGAAACGGCTTTTTCTTTATCTCATTTCTGAGTGTGTTGTTCATAATTAAAAAATTCATTTGATTTTTTAAAAACACATTTTAGTTGACAAACGTTTTCTAGCATATGCTTATAAGTACATTAGACTGTGTAGCGTTCGTTTCGGACCTTTTATCAAACAAAGTATAGAACAACTTACTCCTAATAATATTTATTTAGAAAACGTTCATGCCTACGATAACTGATAGCAATAAAAAATATTTAAAACAATTGTATACGTATGAAGTCGACACTCGGATACCCTACACTTTAAGAAAATCTGTAATTAATATGCAAAAAATTTGTGACAATCAATGTCTGGGACGAGAATGAAATATCGATTTCTTTTCTTTTTTTATGAACTGTGTAAACGTTCTATTGGGCGAGTCATGCTTACTGTTGAATATGATGCTCTCGTGGCTACGACTTTTCAATCACATAGACAAACATATGGAAGTTTATAAAGAGAGGTAAACATTATTGAATATCCCGGCCTATGCAAAATGATATATGCTCAATGGGTAAATCTGAAGTCAAGTGTGTACCGATCAAGCACTCACTGTGAATATGACCGCGAACACCGCCTCAGTCCCGCCACTATGCGGTGCATCAATGCCTGGATGATGGAGGGGTGATATTGCATCCTTTAGTTTATATTTAGTAGACAAAAACTTGTGTGTTTTTCTATACAGTCGGAAATCTGGTCTTTATCTCTCTTCAATTTTAAGCAATAGGTTGTCCTTTTACTGCTTTGCCTTCCTTGCTTTGCTTTGACCGAAATTCAAATATTTTCAAATGTTAACACTTTCACGCTCAGAACATTGCTAATCGAATTACGGACCAAAACACGAGTAATCTATATCCTCTCCGATAATAGATCGAGGATTATTTGCAAGCACTTTGTTTAATTTTTAATCGAATAACGTAATCCCCAGCCCTCTAAAGGTAGCGTATTAAGTGTACATTGTCCAGAACATTTTAGAATAGATTGAAAACTTTCCCTAGCCCAAGTCAAATAATAATTGGGCGTACAGTTATCCTCACTGTGCGTAGCACACATTTTTGTCTTTACTAAATGTTGGGTCATCGGCAGCTTTGTTTGTCCGTTTGCTAAAATAGTTGATTATTGAGCGATCAAATCTAATTTTGTTACGATTTCATCATTGCATCGTCTCCGAGAATGTCCATATGCACGACATCCCGTCACTCTTTGCTATAAGTTGTCCTCGATTGTTGGACTTTTCTTCCATCTGCGAAGAATTCTTGCCATAAGTCATATAAGAGCGATTGGCTATCTTTGCCTAATCGTTCTCTTCACATTCTCCGAAATGTCTGCAAGTCTTGCAGGCATTTGTTCTATTCGGTGTAATTCTTTTAAGGCAAACAAAATTTCAAACAAAATTTTCTCTGCATTGCTTTTGTAAGTTAAATGGCGTCAATTAAAGCGAAACAAATGAAATTTTTTAGTATTTAAAATGAAATGTATACAACAATAACAATAACAACGAGAACAACAAGCTTTGACGATTTGACATACATAGCGAAGTAAATTTAGAATGTTTCATACATTTTCTATGAACAAATCTTGTACGCATTGTCCCCGCTCGACGATCTTTTTACAATTTCACTTTCAAATTTACAAACGATATAACATAATGAATTTAACGACGATTCTCTCGTAGTGGCTAATAAAAAGGAAATCCGAAAATAAAGATCAATTGTATTTCGATTATTAATACATAGGAATTAAAAAAAACATTCAAAGAGAAATCTCAGTAAAGTGTATATATATATAATAAATGAAAAGTAATAATGAAATGCATTTAACCCCTTAATTTTGTTTTTATTGCTTTGGTTTTTGTATTTTCTTTTTTTTGTTTTTTGCATAATAATTTCAACGGGAAACGCAGTATTTTGCAAAACAAAACATAAACAAATTGATGTACGTATAAAAATAAATTCATTTTTGAGATGAACGTGCAAAAAAAATAAATAAATAAATAAATAAATAGAAGAAAAGAAAAGAAAAAAAAGGAAAGAAAGAAAACAAAAAGAAATGAAAATATTTTCTTTTGTTAATCAGTCAGTGTTTCGAAAAATTTTAAAATGAAACGTTTAGTATCAGCACGAGACGGTGCGTTAGAAAAGAAATTCAAAATAAAAATAAAAAAAATTTTTATTAATAAAAAACTAAATATAAAAAATATATGAAATATACAAGCAATTGAAATTAAAAAAAAAAAAAATATATATATATATATTAATAATAATTGTTAACAGTTAGCATAAATTAATTAAAGATTACAATTAAAAGAGCGTAACCTTTTTTTTCTTTTTTATTGCTATCCGTTGCAAATGAACAAAAGTGAAATTAAAAAAAAAAAAATCAAAAAAAAATCGACTGTTAACTCAATGGCATTTCATCGTTATTTCCTTAACTATATTTAAATAGAGATTATGACGCATATGTGCATTAGTTTTTTAATAAACACAAACATTTAAAGATATTTGTAAAGCAAAAAAAAAAAAAAAAAAAAAAAAAAAAAAAAAGGAAAAAACAAACAAAAAATACAAGGATAGTTAGTACACGCTGACAATGAACTTTAAATTTATGCACCGTTCATCTAAGCGAAATCTGTTGAAATATTTATGATCTATATGAGGAAAACGTGAGAATTATATATCGATTGATTTTTCTATTACATACCATAGACTCCATATAATGCTAATTAAGTTTATCTTATATATGCATATAAATATGTATATATTTATGTATATATATATATATATACGTCAAATTTCCATTATATATATATATATATATATAAGCATGTAATATGCATTTTGTGCAGTTTGTGCTCTTTTTACACTCATCACGGAAAAGTAGGATTATATTCGATTTGTCGAAACGTTTGCATCAAGCAGAAGATAGTTGCGGAGATTTCGCAACGTATACAAATATTCCTGATCAATAGAAAATTCTGAATCAATTTTAGCATGTTCTTCCATTTGTCCGTCTCTATGCAATGTCTGTGGTAAGTCGGCATCTTCATCGCAAAAATTAAGCTATCATTTTCAAATTTGCCAGAAACTTTTGAAGTTCTTGCACGCAGGTTGGTGTTGAAAATGGATCAAATCGGTTGAAAGACACGCCCGCACCAGCACGTAAACTGAGAACATCTATTTTTTTCAAAGGGAATTAAAAATTGTTTTTTTTTTGTGCTCATTACTTATAAACTACAGCCGGTAAATGTAGCAAATTTGTGTGTAGGATCTGTGCACAAAAATGGAAAAAATTCACCACGCCTAGCCAGGATTATAGGGTATAAAAATGTTATATTTTTTTTAACACATTTATAAGAGGCAGCAATAAGCTTCAAAAACCTTATAAAGTATATAAATTCTTGACCAGTTTCAAGTTTGGAATGCACCTAAACATGTCCATCATGTCTTTCCATCTGTCTGTCTGTGCAATTGTATAGTATCTGTGGTAACGATCCTAACGTTAGCGAAAATCAATATATTGTCGAGATATTTGCAAAAGAATTTGAAATTGACTCAAACTTTTTCAAGAACACACCTACAACGCCTACGCGACAATGCGACGAAAACTTTTATGTTGAAAATAGCAAATAAATCAGTCCCACCCAATTCGTATTATAAAGCATGAAAATTTAGTTCTTTTACTTGTTTTGTCTGTGTTGTCTGTTTTAAGATAACGGTGATGGGTATAAAAGATTCGATCACGATCGAATATAATTATCTTACTTGCTTTTTCTTTATATTTTATATTATATTTTGTTTTTTTGAAATTATTGCTATACATATTTTTTTTTTTTTTTTTTTGTAAACATTTAAAGATTTAGTGGGCTTATTATTTACTGCGCGTGTACTATGTAGAAATAATCATTGAAGTACCGCGACACCTCATCGACATTTCTTTAAAACTCCGCTGGTTTAACTCGCCTATGATTCATCAAAAGAATTATGTTACGTTTGCCAATTGCTTGGCCTACGAGGCTCACATCGAAGATCCCATAAAAACATATATACAATTTTTTTATCATTACCATCATATTAATAGCGAAAATAATTTAATTATGGTTACCCGTCGCTAATTTTCGCGATTTTGTTAAAATTTTATTAATAGCTTTGAATTCAATCTTCTTATCAAAATCAAAAGTCGTATATGCATACGACACTGTTGGAGTCCTGCAAAGTCCGCCATATATGTTGGACGCATCAAAACTTTACGCTCAAGGTCTGTCCATTTTTGTTGAGTCATTAAAGGGATTATTGGGCATTATAATGATGGAAGACAATCCCGCTCCTGTTCTCCTGTTTTGGATGTTGAATCTCAATTGCACGCTCTAACGATATTTATGCCCTTCACCACTTGAGGTATGGGCTATATTAAGTTAGTTAGGTTATATGTAACATGCAAACGCACTTAAGATAGATCCACCTTTTATTATAGCGACCGATTCAAAATCATAATCTTGATCTAAGCCTTGATCTGTCCGTCTGATGCCTGTCCATTCGCCCGTTTGTCAGTATGGTTGCCTATCTGTCTGTCTGTCTGTCTGTCTGTGTAATGTATTTAGTAAGCATTTTTCTGGCCGCAAAATAAGACGTCGACTACAAGTTGGCGTAAACATTGGAAATTTTTGTACGCTGGCTGGCATCGAAAATGGGTGCAATTAATCAAAAGGCAAGCACACAGCGCACACACTCCTCAAAATGGAAAAGTGTGCTTTCCGCTCGTTACTTACCAGCTATAAAGCGTATATTCTATAGCTAATTCGCCCGGACCTGCACACATGCACAATGGAAACAATTGACCGCTCACGCCCAGTCGGTGTTATGCAATATCGCTATTTTCATTCTTTTATCAAAACGTTTTTAGCACCCTGGAAGGAATTTCAGAGATCTTACAAAGCATATAAGTTATCGATCGACGCAAAACTTTGAATTCCCCTGGCCTTGTTTGCCCGCTCATCTCTCGGTCTTTCTGTCGACCATATGCAATTAATGAAAATATCGCCTTCAAATGTTGGAAGTAAGTACACGCTGGTTGATACTGAAAATGGACCACAGCTGTTAAAAGCCACGCCCACAGTACAACGTAAATGGACAACAGTGCGATTTTTAAAAGTAAAAAATTGATATTTGACCCGTTATTCATATATATATCGAGCGAATGAATCTTTTCCCCTTTTTTTGCATTTGTCTTTCGCATTCGTGCTAAGGACGGATATTATTCGTTCTAAGCTTAATATAATTTTTTCTTCTTTATCATACCAAATGTGTATGTAAATATGTAATTCATGTAAATATATCGCTGTAACAGGTGCTAAGAAACTTGAGCGAACCCGTCTATACTTTTCCTTCTTCGTTGCCCGTCCGCATGCTTGTCCGCGCAAACTCTTATCAAGTCTATGCGAATAAAGAATAGATAAAAAGTACGCATATTCTCAATTTTGTGTACTGCGCCCTTAACTTTCGATTAAGAAAAACTTGGAAATGTTAAAACGTTTACTTAACGCACAATTTATTGCCGAAATTTCGATCGATATTGTTTCCGGTCGCAAATATGTCAAACAAATTAATATATCAATGGTTAGGTGAAATTTGTCTTCGCAATTATCGCGATTCGTCTGATGTTCGATTTTCGTATGTTTCGCTTATTTTGGAACCGACAACATAATATGCCAGGTTTCGAAATAGTATGCATGGCGTGCGCAAAGAGCGCAACAGCAAACAACTGATTAATAAATAACCCATTTGTCGCTGAAAGTAGTAAAGGCGGCAGCGATCTACACGAAAAGAAGGAGACTAATGTTTCTGAGCAGACGTTTAATAAAACTATTTGTAACTCGCATAGTGAATGTGGGTAAGAAATTCGCATGTAAGAAGAAGAACTTGGCATCCACGGAGGATTCTCTATTGGCCAGCATAAAAATCCTGTCCTTTAAGAGGCGCTTATATGTTCCCCTCAGTCCTATATAAGCATTAGTCTTGGTAGAGTATTAAAATATCGAGCCAATTACTTTTCCCAGAAGCTGCTCTGCGCTGTGACATTCTCTATAAATTTATTAACGACTTTATAGAATCTTAAAAATCGAAGATGGAACTCATTTTCCTTGTCATGTCTAAAATTAATGGCCATAAACTTATCTTAGATTATCTTGTACTTATTCGTTCATCCCCAAGTAGCTGGCAACAAATGTACTCAGTTTTTATGTAACGACCCCAGTCGGCATCGCTTCACTTTAACTGGACGGGGGATATTAGCGAACTTGATTGAAGGGGATAAAAATTGAACAAACTACACTTAATAACATTGTTCTTTCTGGCAATCATTTTATTATCAATTACAGGCTCGCGCACAAACGTTTAATCGTCTTCTTCATGAAAAAGCAACTCCAATAACTCAGTTTGCTTGCATTGATTCCCGTGCAAATGTAGTACAGTTTTCCATCGCATAAGTGTCGGAATTTCTTCGAGTCTAAGATCAGAGTCCGTATGAAAAGGATTCTCTTTATCCGCCCAAGCGAGCATATTGCCCACCTCGACTCTTAAGATAATGCTATCTTTGTCGGCATAATCTTTAATCGCTTGAGCGAAGACGGGCTCAGCCTCATTACAGTCCTTACACCAATTCGTTCCAGTTGCATCTCTTTCTCCAATAAAATAAACATACAATTTTGCATTTTTCTCTGCAGATAATTTAGCGGTTGCTTCTCGAAAACTCTCATAACCTTTGGCTAGCTCCTCGCGCACCATACTCTTGTTGATACTTGTTAAAAAAGTTCTATTGGATTTTTTACTTGAATTTAGGTGACTGCTTGGCGATTACAGCCGGCAAAGTCTAAAATGATAATTTCGAAACTTTGAATCCAATTTACAAATTCACTTACACTCAAATGGTGGATAGCTTGAATTCCCACTGAAATTAATTTTGGTTCACCTTTTTCTCTTTTTTTTTTTCTTTTTTTTTTGTTTTCAATTAATATTTGACAATTTTTTTTTTTTTTTTTATTTTATTTTTTTTATAAGTGCGATCAGATGTTTTATTTATTAAGTCAAAGAAAATAAAGTTAAAGATTTAATGATATTAGCAACACATCGGCATCGAACATACTCCCTTATACATAATTGTAATTTTACTTAAGTGAAGCGCAGAAATAGTCCGAAATGTTACTTTCGTTACTTTCAATATAAATTTAATGCCATTGATGTTATCTTCGTGCGTCTTGCCTTACACCGTCTATATGTGCCGATTCACCTATATATCTGTAAATTCAAAGTTCAATTCTTTTCCGACAAACAAATTTACATATCACTTACCATATGAACCGTGTTTTCCCGTTCAACATCCACAAAATCGGATTTAATTCTTTATTTATGTCAATCTTTTAATTATGAGATGCGCAAGCAACAATCAATACGATCTGTGCATTCATTAAAAATATGTTTTTGTGAGGTTGCGTTTTCTTCGTCTCTTCACTTTGCACTTCAATCAGATAAATAATTACTTTGTAAATCCTATATATAAAGTGTAACGTGTAGGTAGCTTTTACAAACAATATAAAAGAACTAATATTTATACCCATGTACCCATAGGGTGTATAAAAAAGCAACTTTCAAATTATCAATCTTTTTCAAAAACATAGGAAGAAAGAGAATTTCTAGAAAACTTGCGATGACCAAGAACTTAAGCAATTCCCCTTTGAGCCCTGTTATGAGGCTTTCATGGGTAATGACAATTTAACTTGTAGTTTAGGACAAACGGAACTAGCCTCAAATTGCGAGTGCTCTAGGTGTGGGCCCTGCCTTTGCTACAAAAAAATGAGCCATAGCAATATCTAATACTATGCGAAAATGATGCATCTTCTGTAATCTAGCTCTGAAGCTTTGCCCGAATCGGCTATCGGTAATTGGATATCCAGAGCTTCTTCCGCTAGCAGATCACTTCCGTGGGCAGAATCAAATGCTCTTACGGTTTGCTGCTGCAGAGAGTGATGCTTTCCAGATGTAACGCGTAGAATACTTGCGCAGCTTTCTACCTCTTGGGAGCTTAGACAATGTTTATTATGTTGTTTCACGGAAGCGATACGTTTTTCCATAGACATTCTAAGAAAAGTCGGACTGAGGAGACGAACTTGCCTACCCGTAATACCGTGATTCTTTGCAGGAGCTATCACCCTGGTCGAATAGGCGTTAAGTTTTTTCCCATAAAGGAGTCTGTTGGATTGCGTAAATGATGGTAGGATTTGTTATCGAGTGCTAAGGGAACCATTCATCTGTTTCCAAGTGTGCAACTCGACTTCTCTTGTTTCTGCTTCGCCCCCCTAGAGAGAGAGAGAGAGAGAGAGAGAGAGAGAGAAAGAAAGAGAGAGAAAAAGAGATTTCGGGTAAACAGGTAGAGCATAGGTAAACAAATAAAACATCCTAACTCTATGTATCAATTTTCAGCCGAGTCAATTATCATTGATAGTTCGTTGTAGAGCTTTTGATGGATGAATTATTAATCCAAGTTTGTTTCCTTAGCGATCAGTTGGATTCAACCAAGCGATTTCAAAACCTCAATTGGTTAACAGGCCAGTTTTGTGCTATTTAAAGATTATTGATTATGCATACGCAAGATCTAAAATATTCGAGGACAAGACTACAAATAAATGACAAAGTCAAAAATATGGAAAGAAAAGAAAAAAGATATCCCCAATTAGAGAGAAGTAAAGAAAAAAAACAAAAAAAAAAAGATTGCCATTCGAACAGAAGCCAAGAAGAGTCCATGAGCCGCCTTGAGCAACATTTTCTCAAAAGTCGCCGTTGCAGACTCAATTGTTCATTCACGTTCATTCGTATGTAGACTTGAAATCAAAACGCTATTTATCGAATGATAGGAACAGACACAAACCTTCATATTTTCTTTTATTTCGGAAAGCAGGCAAATGGTCTCTCAACGGATTACGCGTATGCATTAATCGATAAAAGGCAGCATAGACTTGAAAAACTTTATAAAATATTTAGTTGGAGGTAAATTTGAAATCTTTTATGCTTTACATGAATTATTTCAAGAGCGTTCTTCCATAAAACATTTCTATTTCTCTTGACGTTTTCATATCTGTTTAATAAACATAAACACGTTTAGAATGTAAATAGAATAAAAATGTAAATTATACTAAACTTGATACGCATATAAATCAAAGAGTGATTCGTTTTCAGCAAGAAAATCTTTACCAGGAAGAATGAAACGCTATGCACAAATAAAATGAAATTGTTTCGAAAATATTAAAGATTTCAAAAAAAAAAAAAATTTATTTTTTTTGTTTTTTTTAAAAACCTAATCACATGTTTATTTATGTTGCATTAATTTCAACAATTGGCGAACACTTCATTCCTTTTGTTGCAGTGTAATATGTTTACCTCAACCTATGTATATCAAACAAGTATCAATTGTATCCACTTGGATGGTCGTTAAATTAAATAGAAACGATTATAATGGATCAGTGTCGCCATTTATTATCACTTCGTTTACCACTAATAATATTCATGGGATGGGCTATCAAAATAGAGCTGTGTGGCCTCAATTTGATCGAAAAGTTTCAACATAAAATATTAAAACTTTGGGACTTTTATATTGGAAAGGGTTACTTTTCGTCGGAAGGGTAACATTGGAAAGGCTTTGAAAAACTAGACCGACCTGATCCAAACTTTTCGTATCTATTCAGCATATAATCGAAATCGTATAGTTTATGTCAAGAAATTTTGAGAATTTAAAATTTTTCCTAAACTTTCATCGTAAAATTCGTCCACTTCAATCCAAAAGGGTTTATCCTTGGTCTGAATGAAGTGAATGTAACGTATTTCGTCAACATATGTCGCTATTTCTTCTTCTTCTTCGAAATGTATTAGTTGCAAAGATACTTGGACATGTGGCGGGCAGAGAGACCTAGCGACAGACGGAGAAACAAACGTAAATCGATTGAAAAAACGATTCGGAATAATTCTGAAGGTATAATAAGAAAACCTTACATATGTTCGCAGACTTGATGTACTCTACTCCACAAGTGGTGTAGTAAAATATATCAATCTGGCATCTCTACGACAAGCGATAAGCGAAAGCTTTTATCTGAAATGGGCATATATCCACTTTGTCAGTCCGCTTCTAATATTCGGTATATAAGGTTCGTTTTAATAAGAATCATGCCTGTGTGTGCGGTGCAAAAATTTCAGTAGAAATTTCAAATTAGTGATTTCCAGCCTATTGGCAACTTTGGTTTTATATCTTTCAAAATACGAAAACTAAATACCGCTACCATGAGTGAAGAACCTTGCAAAGATGCGGATCTAAAAACATTCGATTTGAAGAAAAAGTGCCTACGACTCACATGAAAAATATTTGCTTTTCATTAATCTGAAGAAGAATGTTTTATGTTCAGGTTTCTAATTTTATGATTTTTATGTACGAATAATGCAATCGTTACATTGAATAAAAAAAACAAGGCTCGCCTTAAAGTTCTAAAAGATTTCCAGGCTCAGCTATGGCGCAGGTTCGAATCCTACTTCCTTTTTGCTTTGCTTATTTTTAAATGGCATAAGAAGTAAACAATTTCTGTTTTTATTAGACCGTATATTGCGAGGGTAAAGTTATTAAGAAGCGATGGCAACTTTTAATTGTAAGGTGCGGTTGCTTTGAACGCGTATCGGTTTTAATCGGCTTTTCAAACTGTATCTCCTTCTCTTGTTTAACTTCGTAGCTCTAAAGAGAAATTGAGCGTAGTTAGCTCTGCGCTGTTGTATGTCAGTGGCTAAGGTGTTTGACATGCAGCCAATCGATCCAAGTTCAAGCCCTGGCGCACACGGCAGACCGTGAATTGTACTTTACTGCTATATGTGTGTCCTTCTAGTGCATGGTATAATTAAAACGATTGAATAATTCCTTGTCGTTGTCATGTATGTTCTCTCTCACTTGAAAACCAAAGAGTGAGAAACCTGCGGACTAACAGTTTTCTCTCGCGGATTTTTTTCCTAGTTTCCTTCATTTTCAAATCGGATGAGACATGGAAATCTTTTTTTATAGATAGAAATGTCTGCTATATAAGTATATTCTTCCGCAAAGTGGATCGCTGAAAGGACTTTTCTGCTTACCCGTATTTTGAAACTTTCTACAAAACAAGAAATTTCATCATCCCTCTCATCAAATCAATATCGAAAGCCAGCAAAAGCTTCTTCTATTTATTTTATTTCTTAAAATATCCAACCAGCCAGGACATAAAGCCATTAGGATTTATTACAATTAGTCAGTTAGACAGAATCGCGTCAATTTTGTACCATCTAGTGACGATAGTGAGGTAGAAGACAAGATCAGTATGGATTCCATGAAAACGATCAATATAATTACTTTTTTGTTCCTATTTTAGGAATTTACTTTTTGTTGGTTTATATATAGGGTTATCCATTTTATGGTTCCGAAAATGGACTTAAATAAGCCACTCTTCTGATTGAGATTTGAATCATATGCTTTTCTTATTATCTATTATTGCTGTTTAATGTAAAGAAACTGTTAAAAGTTATGACGAAAAGAATGAATCCACGATTATGTTCTGTGCATATAGGATGAAGCTCAATTTGAGCTAAATGAGTTTGTAAATAAGGATTATTGCGTTTTTAGGAGCAAAGAAAATTTATTTGATGCTGCCAAACTGAACTGCTAGGTTCACAAAATTAAGTTTTGGATGTGATTTGCGGGCTGGAGATGACTTTGCAGTTATCCCCAATGCAGAAACCTGATTATTGAGTTTTTGTGGCACGGAATAGATGATTTCAATTATACGGACAGTATACGGTTTTAACAAAATGTTGCAACATGACATACATCTCGTCGCACCATGAATCTATTACGAGAAAAGTTAATCGAGCATATAATCTTGAAAAATGCCATCATGCGATGTAACTCTGTAGGACTTTTA